TGCCCTCCGTCTATCAGCCAACACCGAGGTGCCCCGCGCGAGCATAGGTCTACTTGTCATCCACTCTAAAGAACCACAATACACAGGACAGCTGGGCAGACAGGCAGACACAGTGAATCGTTTTGATTTTTCATCGTCGGTCAATCCTAATCAAGCGATGAAAATTAGAAGGATTTTCACCACCAGTTTTTCTCTAGCACCGGCAATGGAAATAACTTTCACCTCCTGTTTTATTACAAACCAACGATGATATATGTTATCACGCCAATAGTCATTCCAATAAAACTGGCAGTGAAAATGTGCTGGCAAAAACAATTCCTGTGGTAGTGATAATTCAAGTAACCAATAATTCTTTATTCAAAATGCGTAAACACAGGATGGCATAGCATCATCTGCCACTCACACTAAAGTCAATCATGTATGTATCTAATACCCATCACTTGTGTGTACCTCATGATTTAGTCATGGAGGCTTCATTCATCAGTAGATCAATAATATTCAAATACGTGTGCTCCATGCATATCATCAAATCATTTCTTCCATGATCTCACGAATAAAGTTATAGCGCTGATGTATGTGTGTTTGAACTTTTTGTGCATCCTAGGATCCTTAGCTTGTGTGATGGCACCATTATTATCACAATTGAGGTCCAAATGACTTGGTGCACTAGGAAACACACTCAATTGAAAAACAAACTTCTTGATCCAAACAACGTGCTTCGCAGCTTCTGAAGTTGTGATATACTAGCCTTTATCGTAGAATTAGCTACCATCTCTCACATGGAAGCTTTCTTGCTTATCGCTCCTCCAATGGAAGATACAAAACTAGATTGTGACTTGCTATCGTCTTTATCAGTTTGGAAGCTAGCATCCATGTAACCACTTACAAAGAGTTCTTCCTCATCTCCATATATAAACCCAGAGTATATCCTTAGTCCTTCGCAAGTACTTGAGGATATTCTTTAAATCCACCTAGTCAGACTCGCCAGAGTTAGATTGGAACCTGCTCTTCATACTTAAAGCAGAAGAAACGTCTAGGTGTACTGTACACAGCATGGCATACACGATATGGATCCGACTGTGTTGAGGCATACAGAATGAACACACTCAACATATCTCACTCATCAGGTATTGAAGGACACTGAGTATCGCTAAGAGTAAGGATGAAAACGGTACGGAAATATTCCGAACCGACCATTTTTATTTTTCTATATTATGATACCGTTTTCTATATTATGATACCGTTTCCGAATTTCACCAAACATAAAAAAATTTCATTTTCAATTGGTTTCACAACCATTTTCAACCATTTTTTGTACTCTTTAATTGCTAAAATGTAGGAATATCCCGAAACCGACCGCTTCCGTTTTCTATATTGTAATACCGTTTCCGACAGTTTTCATCCTTTGCTAAGAGTAATGCCATGTGACACTGGCAAGAAACCTTTCCTGGAGTCCTACATAATAAACAATTTCAATACCTTGTCAATATGCGTGCTTTGGCTCAATCCAATCATGCTTTTCAACCTATGTCTATAGATATTCACTGGTGCAGCAAGGCTTTTTGCTCCCGGTTGGGAAACCCCTTTAGTCCTGGTTTCCCAACCGGAAGCACCAATCCGGGACTAAAGGTATCCTCCTTTAGTCCTGGCTTGACGCCCGGGACTAAAGGGGGACACCTTTAGTCCCGGTTGGAAACACCAACCGGGAATAAAGGGGGCCACCAGGCCTGGCCAGGCATCGTCACGGGGCAGGACCTTTAGTCCCGGTTGGTGTTACCAACCGAGACTAAATGTCCCTCTTTTTTTTTTCTTTTTCTGGTTTCTATTTTTGGTTTCTTTTTTCATTTAATGATTAATTTTGATATTAAAATACATTTTCGAATATGCTGCTAATAGTAATATATATGTGTACTTCGCACGCGTAAGTTTTCGTTCGAACTTTGTACATAAATAACAAACGAATATTCGCGTACATGCATATATATATGATGATGATCATATATATATACACACGTTATTTTATGTACATATAATATGTGCATATATATATATATATATATATATATATATATATATATATATATATATATATATTACAAAGGTTTGATATATAAATTGTTTATGTCCTTAGCAATTCACTCCTCCAGATTTGGCATCCACGTTTCGTTCGGGTCATTGTAGAACTCGTCGTTGAGGTTGATGACCTGGTCATTTAGAAATCCTGCTATAATCTCTTGAATTGCTTTAAGTCGATCAAGTCGTATGACTCTTTCCATCAACCATTCAGTCTTCAATAAAAGTTAAAGGAAAAAGTATTAATATATATATATATATATGTATGTGTATTGCTCATGTAATTACTTATACAAATGAGAGCAGTAAAGAAATTGTAAATATACGATCGAAATAATATAAAGGAAAAAGTATTTATATACGTACTTTGAGTTGCTCTTCAGGAGTTCTCTTTGAGTACGCCATGATGAACTCGCAAACATAGTATCCGCAGTAGTTGTTACCCTGCTCTTGCCTTAGAACCCACTTTTACGACAAAAAAAACAATTAGGGTGAATTGAAATCATCATATGGTGTTAATTGAATATAAATGTGTAGTTATAGTACTTACTTTGTGTGCGATTACACCCAGTGGCGCTTTGCAATATTTCATTTTTTGTTCCTCAATGAACCTTTTCCAAACCCTGCTCCCAATAAAATAAAAAAATAATTTAACCTTTAATAATTATTAAGAGATCGGCGCCATTATATATTTATGCCCAAAACATTAACTGCCTCTCCATGATCTTTCATCGGAAAACTGTCCCAAAGAAGACCTGAGAGCTACTAGTTTTCTGTCAGCTTACCATAAAACAAATACCGTCAGAGATATCTTTCTGTCGTGAAACTCAAAGGCAAAATGATTTTCTCTGTCGAGCTATATATCCTTTGACGAAATTTGCCTATAGGTTCACGACAAAATTGATTCCTTGATTGTTTTTTTTGTTTTCCTTGTCGGTTTTTCGGCACATAGGGGTAATGTAGTTTCTAGTAGTGACTTGTAAATTTACCATGTGTTTGGTTTGAGGGTTGGACTGGGATATCCCTGGTTCGACCTAGATGGAGATGCGTTTGGTTGAGGATCTGTGTGGGTTTGGGTCAGATCTAAGAGGAAATATATCCTCATATGAGGGTTGGACTGGTCCCCTCCATTTGAGGGGATGAGCTCAACCCACATGGACGCCGTTCTGCTCCATTTCGCAGGGGCGACTGGCCGGCGTGGGCACTTGAGGAGGTGGCGGCGGGTGTGGGGATGTCGCGGTCGGCCAGAGCAGGGCAGTGCGAGAGGCGGGGCACAGTGGCCGGATGCGCGGAGCGAGTTCAGCCCTCCAGCCATGGCGGCGTGAGGCGAGCTCCAGCCCCAGCCATGGCGCGGGGCGAGCTTCGGCCCTGTCCATGGTGGCGCGGGACGAGATCCGCAACATGGCAGCGAGCGGCGACACATGCTCGCCTGGACGGGGGGAGCGACGGCACATGCTTGGCTTTGGTTGAGAAGGCCTAAGGAAGAAGGTAACGTGGGGAAAAAAGAAAATAAAGAGGATGATAGGCGGGCTCCACTAATAGCTACTGTTAACAGTGTGGGTTCAACCTTTCAACCAAACAAAAAAATTGGGTTGAACATAACCCCTTAACCAAACAAAAAAATTGGGTTCAACCTAACCCCTTACCAAACACGAGATGGGTTCAACTTCAACCCAACCCAAAAACTAGGTTGGACCCAACCCATCCCACATGATCCCAAAACTAAACACATGGTTAGTTCTTTACTTAGCTTGGAGGAGGACCAGCCATCTTGTATTATTGCAAATGCGAACCATGCTTGTTTCAAGTGAACTTTCACAAACTAACATTTTTTGGGTTACATAAATCAACACTTGTTTTTGCTAAAGTATTAGGAACGTGTACACTATTTTCTGATTTCTAAATTCTATATTTGATTTCAGTTACCCAATTTTCCCAAAGTAACACTTAGGGCCGTTTGGATCCCTTCATGTTGGAGGAATTGGAATCTACTTAATAGATTAGTCTATTTGGTTTGGAATTTAACATTCCACAACTTTCCCAAACTTTTAAATAAACCTATCTCAAATTCATAGGGTGGGAGATGGAATTTGATTCTATAAATTACTATGCTATATTTGTACTCTGCAACTTATAGTATGCCCTTCAACTCACTTCCGTACAGTAGAAATACAACATATAAATATCTCCCTTCTATAGCTAATAATAATATACAAATATATTTCATATACAACTATATTAGCTTAATTAATCTGTATCTAAATTATAATTATTAGAATGAATTCAATCAAGGATACAAATGGGGCCGGTAAAAGGTAGCCAAACCCGCGTGTCATACAGATGCATTATGGGTGCATCAGTATGCCATGTATGGGCAGCGCACAGGGTATAAGTTATTCAAATTTGTTGCAAGCAAAAATTCAATAGAAAATGAAAGTAAAAACTTAAAGGTCTGTGATATTTCGTCTAAAAGAAATGTGCTGGCAATGTGTGAAACGAAAACAAAATAATAACATATATGGTATGTATTAGTGTCACAACGAGAGAGATCCTGCTGCCGCTATTTTTTTATTGCCGTTGGAGCTTGTTGCGTTTCCAGACCTATATCCAGTACTTATCCAACCGGCGCCAGGCAGTACTGCCAGCCACTGACGCGCACATTTTCATCCAATAATGAAAACTAGCCAGAAATGCAGAGAAAGGGGCCCCTTCATCCTTTGACTGCGTGATTCGATCGATTCCAAGCACCGTCGTCTGATCCCGTGGCGGCGCGCCCTGTGGGAGTCAAAAATAAACCCTCCCTAGATAAACACGCCGCCAAGATGATGCCCTTGACCCCTTGCTTTGCTATATAATCCCGGCCAACACGCCCTCCTCTCCATCAGACACAAGTCGCATCCTCAAACTCTCAACAGCATACCACCACCATGGCCGGCGGGAAGAGGAATAGGCTGCAGGGTCCACCCCCGAAATGGGCTGTCGTCCGTGGCATGCTCCACATGCGGATCAAGGACGCCGCCGCGGAGCTGAACGTCCCCATCACCTACCTCAGGCGCCTCTGCCTCCAGAACGGCTTCCCTACCTGGCCAGGAAAGAGGGTAAGAATAATACATGCATGATTTTATTCAAGCGAGCAGCACTACTAGAGTTCCTTATATTAGCTTGTGTCTGACCCGCCTTGAGCTTCCTCTTGTTGATTTATGGCGCCACACAGATCCGGTACATGAACGGTATAGGGAGGAACCCGATGCTGGAAGTAGATGCGCCGGAGAGCTCGTCACGGCGGGCTGGGTTAGCTGGTCCTTCCCAGCTGGCCAGGATGGCAGTGACGGCTGGGTTAACTGGTCCTTCCCAGCTGGCCAAGATCGCGGAGACCAAGAAGAAGGAGGAGGAGGACGACAACATGACTGGGATCCCCGAACCAGTTGCGAATTCTCCTCCTAGAGAAGAACTCGTCACTTTAAACTTGATCGACAAGGTTGGATCGTCCTCCAGCAGCGAGCGCAGCTAGTTTGCCATTACATCGTACTGTCATCTATGCTGCAAAATGCAATACTTGTAGCTAGATGATCATAAGCTTGATCTATCAGTCGACTATGTATTACTGTGATCACACAGTTCGGAAACTTCTATTATATTGTTTGTGTTTTGTTGTGAACTGCAGAATGAATGCCTTTGGTTAAGGCACTTGCAAAGTTGCAATTGTTATTTCAGGATGAATAAACATTCATGCGTGACAGTTCCCATGGGTGCCTCTAAAACATCTATTGAATGTTGTGTGGTTTTTCAGAATGGCTTTGGTTAAGTCACTTGCATGCAATTGTTATTACAGGATGAAACTTGACAGTTCCCATGGACGCCTCTAAACAGGGTTGCATGGGATAGCCACCGCTTTTATATATGACTGGACTTGAATTAGTATAACCGTTTTTCATTTATCGATAATTTTGTTACATTACATGAATGGAAAACAAAATATATATAAGGGCTACAGCTCTTGCTATATCCAGTTGTTATGCTTCCAGCCTAGTTTAATCAGTGTTGCTCATATCCTGCAAAAAGGACACCAAAAGCAAGGGTAAGTATGATGGATCATACTCAGCAAACATGCATATGATAGGAACAAAACATATACATAACTAACGAAGGAAATTATCGTGTGTTTGGACTGCGGTATTCAGCTACAACAATTTAACTGGTGTCCCCAAACAGTGAAATCTCACACTTCTGCACGAAACCCTATGCCAAAACCTCTCTTGAGACGAGCATATCTCTTTTGTTCCTCTAGAAACACTTCGCATGGTCACTCTTATAGATCCGTCATCAACCATTATATTCAGAATAAGATCCATCCCCATTAGAGAACTTAGACAGCAATTTAATTAATTTCTGAACTATATAGCTGATACGATTAATCGCCATGGCAACACCAGGTTTACTAAACACCACACTAGCAGCTTAAGGGCATTTAGTTAAAGCGCACGAGAAAATATAAGCATTGATACGAAATAGCTCAAACATCAAACTGTATGGACCATAAATATGCTCGAAAATGTAAGGGCAACACCATAGTTTGACATGTGAAAAATCTATGGCGTGTAAGCGCCACACCACAAGTCCACAATTGAGAACATAAAACACTCTAGAATAATAGAAGGGCAGCACTGCATAATGTAGACAGCTGAAAATAAAATGTTAGCAAAATGATATACTATGTTAATACGGTATATACTGCTTGCATTATCAATTATTAGTCTATACCTAAGTGTTGACAACCAATTTATGATCGGAGAGCTAAAAATGGATTAGAAAACACGTCCAAACAAGAAAAGAGCAAAAAGAATTGAATTCTGATCAAATTGAGCATAATTTGCAACAGCCTGGGAAAGATGGCCTAGGACAGTTTTTGCTGAGTCTCCTCATTGTCCTATATAAATTGGACCAGACCGATTTTGAAAACTGACCTGAGCCGATTTTGGCAGTCTGATCTCTGACTCGGTTTTTTTTTTCCTTTGGAAACTTATCCAATCTAGTGAGAAGTATGTAAATTGCGTGTGGAATAAGTATCCTACTAGGATATAAGACCATCTCCTTCTATTTATAAGAGAGGATCATGGACAATTGAGAGATCTATCTAATCATAAAAAACACATCTATCTTTACACTTTATATTCTACCTCAAGCTCTTCTAACCCCCTTGTTGTCTAGCACTTCTCTCAATGATATTTTCTAGCGTTCTAAGGTGATATTGCCGATTCTAGGGAACCCCTGTTGTATGTCTCCCTGATGAGTCTTCCTCGGAGGCGTTCATTGTTTTTTCAAGTGAAGAAATAGCATCAAATCGGCCACGTTGAACTGCTAAGTCAGCCTCACCGTTTACACCTAATCCACTGCATATCTGGTAGGTCGTGTGCAAACCTTGGACGACGATCTAACCCATACCGGTGTGTTGGTCGGATTTAGCGTCAACACACTTATTGGCGACTCCACTAGGGAAGAAGCAAACATATCTACTATTATATGTCTTTAGATCCAAATAAACAATCCCAAGAACATCATTAGACTTTCGTCTAGTCAACTACTTGAGGAGATTCACAAGATGCTAGAGGAGAGGACGAAGGCCGAAGCTGTTGTGGATCTACAGTATGCCCTTGCATGCTTCGAGGTGGATTGGCAGGGAGCTATCAAGAAGATCCAAGATATCAACTTTGATCCTCTTTCTGCTACATCTGTATCTGAGGTAAAAACAGGTCTACCTCCCCTTAGACATTGTATTACACACGATGAATGTGCTACAATAATTGCTGATCAAGTTAAGCTTTTTGAGATCCATGTGTATGATAATCTTAGCAAATTTATGGACGGTCATAATAAATGGGGGGAAAGAGATATGAAATTCCTATTTTTTTCTCAAGATGCATCTATTAGTGTTTCGGCACGATTGCTAGTCGACCTTAATATGAGGTGTCGTTCAACTTTAATTTTATGAAGGGAAAACAAGCCATGCATCGGCTAACTAGCCCAAATTGGCCTATTTGGCAACTGAAATAGATAGGGCTAGTTTAGGAGGGTTTGGTACTACTTTATCAATGGCTACTTTTGCACAGACATCGATTTCCACTACACGAGGCGATAGCAATTCAATAGCAACACATGTCTCTCTGCTCATAATATGGTGTTGCCAAATCCTCCTAAGACACTTTTTAGGTGCCAGCAAGCTAATGCACAAATACTTCACAAATCACCAATCTGGCCTCATAGGATGAAGCTCTAACCTGATTTAAGAAAGAATTTCATAAATCTTTGGAAGAAAGTTGGGGTGTGCATTTCAAAATAGCTGAGAAACCATACCCCTCTTATTTTGATTACATGAAATCTTCCGATGGTGGAAAGTGCCTGATTTTTATAAATTCAGTGGCTAAGATAATAAAACCACAAAGGAGTATATTAGCATGTTTCATGCTTAATTGGGTGAGGCTAGTACCATGGAATATACAAGGAGTCATAACTTTTCATTATCTTTTACTGGTACTGCTTTCTTATGGTATTATTTATTGCAATCTTGCTCTATTGGTTCTTGGACACAACTAACTAGAAGAAAATTTTCATGGATATTTTTATAATGGAACCAGTGAGCTTAAATTGTCTAATATGATATTGGTCAAGCAAGGGTTTGACAAGTCCGTCCTTGATATGTTAATGGATTCAGTGATATTAAAAGTTGATGCTTTAATTTAACAATTTCTGAAAATATTTGTTGATTTGATTTTTCTTGGATTGTACTTTAATATTAAAGAAAAGCACTTGGAGTTTCTTTCTGTTATTCATTTATCAAAAAAAAGCTTCGGGGTTTGTATGGCTAGTACAAGCCAAATTAGTCTTTTCTTTTCTCTCAAGCCGATTCACAAGAATCAGTTAGAGAAGATGAAATTTGCATTTGATGTATCTAAGTGCGAATTTGAGAAGACACAACGAAAAAATCACGTGCAAACAAAAGTGGTCAAATTTAGATTAAAATTGGGCAAATTTGAGTAGACACAAGGAAAAAACAGCCGAGGCCAGTTTGGAGAGCTTCAGCCGAGATGACATAAAAACCAGCCTAGGCCAATTTGTGTAGACCCTGCACCGTTTACTGTTTAAACTGGCCTAGGCCTTGTTTAGAACCGGCCTGAGCCTGGTTTGGAAGATCCAAAGGCCACTTCGTGATTTTTTTAAAAAAAACTCTTCAAATCTCATGGGAAAATTGTAGATTTCGTATGAAATTATTTTTCCTACTAGGATAAGACCATGCCTCTATTTATATGAGAAGATCACAGGCGATTGTGAGATCTATATATACCCGAGCATAAAAAAAATCTCTTATTTTTTATCTTCTACCTCAAGCTTTTCGAACAATCCCTTATTGTTCAGCACTTCTCTAGATGAAATTTGCTGACATTAAGTGGCATTGTCGATCCTAGAACACCCTTGTCGTGGGTTTTCCCAATAGATCTTTTTGGGAGACGTTCGTGGGTTTTTTTGGGCAAAGAACTAGTGTCGAATCGGCTTAGCCGACTTGCTTGGTTCGCCTCACTATTTAGATCTATCTCCGCTATGTATCATGGCCATGTGCGATCCCGATGATCTTGTCTTTATCCGTGTGTTAGCCGGATTTAACACCATCGGGCCTTCACAACCTAACAGAAATATGAATCTCCGTCTGCAATAGACTTTACTAAGGCCTTGTTTAGATTGGGATTAAAAATCAGTATTTGGCACTGTAGCACTTTCGTTTGTATTTGACAATTATTGTCCAATCATGGCCTAACTAGGCTCAAAAGATTCGTCTCGTAATTTACAATCAAACTGTGTAATTAGTTATTTTTTTTATCTACATTTAATATTCTATGCATGTGTCCAAAGATTTGATGTGATAGAGAGAGAGTGAAAAAACTTGCAATCTAAACAAGGCCTAAGACAAGCATTAATTAGAATAGAAGTACATAAATTTATGCTCAAGAGGGAAATAATCATGACAAGTGAGATAGTGGAAGTGCGCTACCATATACTCCCACTTGTGGTTCCACTGTTCGTCAAGCAGAGGATATATACATATATTCATCAGTGCAGTTCCCATTGTGTTATTTCCTTTTTTTCTTTTTTCTTTTTTGAAACACAATCAAAACGAGTGTCACATCTAATATATCTTAAGGAAAACAAAGATCATTATAAAGATGGAGAATAAGACATAATACGACACCTAAAACATTAAATACATCAAAAGTGGCAGAGGGAGGGGGCACGGGGGCCTGGCACCCCCTGACCTGCTACTAGTCCTCTAGTATATAGGCTATGTTCGTTTCGCTGAAATTTGGCTTATGCTGATTTGTAGTGAGGGAAAAACACTGTCCGTTCGCTGAAAAGTACTGCTAAAGTAGTTCAAGCGAGCAAGACCTATAGTTAATATGCATGTATTGTTTTGTGGAAGTTAATATACATGCATGTACTTGTTGTTTGGCTCCTTCCATTCAT